AGCCGCAACTGCGAATAAGGCGCGGTGCGGTAGACGATGCGCAAGCATGCGCAATACGTGTCATAACCAGCGAAGCCGACTAATCTGAGTTCGATGGGACAACGAATTCTCCATCGAATCATTACCAAATACGCGATGCCTCGCCTTAGAGTTGCTTACAAGCTCGCTCCATCCAACCCGCACCAAACTACGTAATCATCTGCAGTCGAATACTTCAAGACGACGAATATCTTCCACGCGCAAATTTAGGGTCTCACAACCATAGAGCAGAACCGGCCGTACACGACCTTTCAGTTTCAACGAAACATCGCGTCTACACCAAAGCCGTTTCAATCCTGCGTAAGCTGCTCGAGCCTTGGAAATGCGGGCGGTTACTTCATTGACTATGCTACCGTCATTTGAAACGCAACTACCTAAGTAGGTGAAACATTTCACTACAGCTAATTCTTGACCATCAAGCATCAGCGCTGGGGTAGACGACACCCAGTCTTGTAGCATCACTTTGCACACCAGCATTCACAGGCGCGGAACGAGACATGGTCCCATCTATTTGCGTGGAGATGCTGCGGTCCTTGAGATAGCTTAATGTCCAGGCCACAAGTTCCAAAGGAAAGCCAAACTTGGGTATTTTAGCCAGCAGACGTACGTGCCAGACACGATCAAAAACTTTCGATATATCCACTGACACCACGTGGGTTTCCTCGTGGTTGTCGAGTGCCGCTGACGACGTATGCGAAATGACCGCCAGAAGATCACCGGCAGATCGATGGGACCGGAAACCATACTGACACTCGCTAAGCATCTAGTTCTGCTGGAGGTTGCGGCCGAGTTGATTGGCAATGACTGATTCCATAGTCTTCATAATTGACATGGGAGTTATTCGGGTCTGAGTAGTCGCCGCTTTTAGGGGTGGGGAATATTTCTGATAAATTCCATTTGGTTGGGAATACTTCGGAATCGAGGGTTAGAGAGAATAAGCCGCACAGGAGAGGCCAGTTCTGGGGTGCACATTTTGAGGGATCCCTTTAGGTCCGAATGGCTTTTCTGAATCCAGTGATAAGAAGATCTGGCGTGTCTTTCTGGTTGAAATCAGTGGTATGAGAAGACGGTTCGCTGTAGAGCATGGGCAAGGTTGGATGGAATGATTTGAGTAGGATGGGATTGGAAGCAAAATAGGAGGTAAACACTTTTTCAAACTGGGCGGACACTAAATAGCCAGATGGTCTAACAATCAGTGAGAAGTTAGTGCAACAGAAGTTACGACAAACTGCCTTAGTGAGTGACCAGGACATCCGGCTTCGAGAAGGAGCAGTTGATAACTGCAAATTTGCTCTAAACAAAGAGCTCCTTAGCTTTCTGTATGATGATTGTGTGCTTGCAAGAACCATTGGCGGGAGCGAGGGGGAGTTGAATGATGCCAGCGGCGGAATGCTGATTTCTCTTTACGAACAGCGCGACAAAGGAGGTCATTTAACCAATCCGGAGAAGGAGGGTTGCCGAGTTTAGCTAAGTAAGGAAGAAATTGAACTTGGGAAAATTTCAAAGTCAAGGTAGAGACATCGACGGAGAAGCATCAATCATTCCGAGGATGGGAAGCCAGAAAGTTACGAAAGCTGCACTGATCGGCCGAACCATATCTCCAGAATTGGAATGAGCAGTAAAATGCGTAATTTAATCACAGAGCGGAATAAGACAATGGTTCGACGGGACCAGGGGAGGAACTGCAGCAATATTTGGAAATAATTGTGGATTGGGTGTGAGGACAAGAGCCAGGGCATGAGCGTATTCGCCAGCACGGTTGGGAAATCAACCACTTGGTGAAGGCTGTTTAATAGGGCAACTTTTTCCGTTTCACGTCCAAAAGGCGATAGCCCTGAAGAGTATAACAGCCAGTCCCTTTTGTGGACGTTGAAATCACCCGAAATAGGGGTTTGCTTCAACGATGTTTTCAATGTCTGCTATTAAAATATCGACCAGGGAAGAGTCACTACCATTTGGGGAATGATATAAAATGCAGAGGTAGTGGTGGCAAGAAAGGAACGATGATGATGATGATGATGATGATGGTGAGGATAAGGATATATATATATATATGTATATATATGTCATCCTCTTCTTCATCATCATCATTATTATGTTATCAATATCTATGCAATGGGCAGTGCGGTCCTGATTATCTTGCGCTACGACCGATGAGAATGAAATTATTTTTAGTTTGTGTTCATTGGAGCTTTATGAATGAGTTGTGCCAGGGAGTTGAGCCCCTTAGCTTGAGGATGATATAATGTTCTCAGGTAATTAACTTTAGAATAATAATAACTTTAGAATTAATTACTCCTCCAACACTTTTTTCCCGACAGGGACGCCAACTCAAGTCAAACCCCACTACCTGGAGGAACCGAAGTGTCAACCAAATAGTCTAGAATTCACGGTTGGTGAGATTCAAGTGGGAGAACGGGGTATGAACAATTGAATAATGGATAAAAGCACAAACACCAGCTGTGGGAATAACTGAAGTGTGAAGAGAATAATTGGGAAACTGAGTATTGGTGGTATTTATAGAAGAGAGTTGTTTCGGAAAAAAATGAGCATAACGGAAGTGAACTGAAGAAATTGCTGTGCAGAATCAATATTGTGGTTCAAGCCGCCAATGTTGGTGAGTGCAATTGTTGTGTGAGTAGTGATCCTGTTAGTTCTACTGTTCATAGTGAGATGGGAGCTAACGGGCAACCTACCCCTGAGATTTTGGGTGGTGAGCTACATTAGGTCCCGATGGCTAGGCGGTGATACCGACCAAAGCGATGATGAATGGCGCATGACGACAGACGCCCGTTTCTTGATCCGGCTTGGTTGTTCTGTCTGGGCATATGAACCATTCGCCATCCGTTGACTACGGACGTTTATTTTAGTACCACCGTCATTCACAACGTTTACTTGTTCAAGCAGGATTATTTTTTTCGAGTTCACTTTCCATTATTGGAATCTGGGTCACATAGGTCCTGTTGGGCTCCCTGGATGGGGACCGCGGGATGATCGGAACCGATGGTTAGAGACACTGAATGATATGGCTGGATGTCATAAACAGTGGCGTTCGTGCATCTTCTCAATTTCCGTGTATCATTAGTCCAATGAACCTCTCAACTTTCTTCGACCCTGCTTTCAACCCTTCTGTTTTCCTCCTAATGTTCATCCAAATGGGCAGCCGAAAGACAGCAACCAAAAGCGATTCACGGAAGTGCATGCTTAATGGTTGTTTAAAGTGAACTGAACTCTATTATTGGATATGGAATAATACGGTTTTCAGGAAGGGGAGAGTCGGCCAATTACGGGACTACAATACGTAGAAAACGGGTAAATCAGGCATTAGTGGTGAGATTCGAACACACGTCTTCCAGGGTGATTATTTGGTGATCTTTACCACTCGGCCACCACTGCCAATCAAATATATTCTGTCATCTGAAGTTTTTGTAAAAAGTTATGCGGTGCATGGGGATGTTCGATACACTTATTCACACTGCTTTTTCCGGAAAGTAACACAAATTATACGCTAAAACAGTGGAAAATGATCAGTTTTTGTTGGCCTCGTTATCTTCATCATTTGGCGGCTGAATGTTAGCNTTAGCGGATAGAATTCGCCATTTGAAAATTGTTTTTATCGTCTCTTTGTTTGATGTAACCTAAAACTACTACTTTCTCTATTACAGACGAACCAGTCAGTACAATTGCGGTCTGTGCTGGATCAGGCAGTTCTATACTGAACGGAAAAACTTCAGCTCAAATAGCGGACGTATTCGTCACGGGTGAAATGTCGCATCACGACCGTTTAGATGCCGTATCTCGTGGGATCTCAGTAATTATTGCGGGACATTCTAACACTGAACGTGGTTTTCTCGCAACCCGATTTGTGCCGGAATTCCAGAAAGTGTTGGACCACGAAACATGCACCGGAGACACTGACATCTCGTCGGTCATTGTGTCCATATCCCAAGCAGATAATGAACCCGGTGTTGTTTTTTGAGAGAAGTGGTCTCATTGTTTGATAGGATGGATTAATATCAGTATTATTGAATTTTCATTGTCTTGTTGGTCTCTGGAAGCAGTATTGGGCCACTTTATCATGCAGACGTGTGTGTGTGCGCGCGCGCTGAAATCGGACATACTCGGGAGTAGCTTTTTATAATTTGGACAAGGGTCACTAAGTAAGAAATGAAGTTAAATTGAACTACCTCATAATCTACTACTAGCAATTTAGGACCGATGAACGTACATGTGGCTTCTCACCAACGCGAATTCCGGGTGAGGGACTGAAACAGTACACGAGCTGTGCAAGTGTAATCGTACTGTGTAGTTTGAACGGATTGTCTCCACCGAAGTGATGAATGTATGTTCCTGAGGTAACTAATCCACGAAAGAAAGTACGATTAGCTATGTATCCCAGTAACAACTGCTAGTATAGATAAAATATCACTTACCATGGTTGGTGGTTCTTAGGAGATTTTATGGCACGGAACATACATCAACGGAACGGTTCTACTTTGGTAACTCTACTTTAGACCTCAACTCAACATTCTGGTCCACAAGGCAATGGGCTGTAAATTTAACTCTGAGATATAATCGGTGCTCCTTTGTGAGAGCTTCTACAAACCTGCAACATGAATTATGAAGGTTTAGATCTTGTATTTTGTTCTCCTTTTTGTTGTTTATTTCTCATTCGGGAGTGGAGCTTAATTGGAACCTAATCTATCCATTGAGATAGGCGGAACAAGGATTTTGGCAGTTGCTTATTCAACTCGAGGAAGTCTCAGCTACCCGATGAATTGCGAAGATTTTTACCCACTATCGAGAGGCGTCCCAGGTGCATTTCTCCAACGTTTTTCTACTGATATACTGTTTTTCCTGGAGTGACCTCTCCAGGAGCGAACTTGTATGGTCTAATCAGCCCAGCTGAGACTCAGTCTTGTCTGATCTTCACCCATTGACCTTACCGATGTGCATGGATCCGCGACAATGGAAAGCCATGTTCTCCAGACGATTCGGTTACTCAGTTACAAGCCATGACACTGTCAAAATACAGCCTCGTGGTATGCATTCTTTAGTCGACTCTTTTACATCCGCAGAATAGAAACAACAAAAAGTTTTTGATCGGGTATCGAATGATGATATTCTCAAAGGGTTTAGACGTTCGGCGTTTGTTTCCCATTTCGACCATCAATAAGGGAAAATAGTCAAGTCAAATCATTTTAGACATCACACACCCAGTAGGATCGGTTTTCAGCATTTTGAAAGAACTACAGTTGTATAACCTGCATTAAACGTGAAAAATGCGCAAAACAAGTGTATGCAATAAAGAGTGCTAACGCGAAAGGTGACCATAATGGTAATGGTCCAAATTAGTAAGATGAGGACAAAAAGAGAGATAATGCTATTTCGATGTGGTATCTGCAGGGTGAAGCCAAAATTTGCGATGTTCTTCATCTGATACTGTACGGATGGTGAAGCGAATACGTTCGTCAAAACATTTCGGAAATATCGCCGCAACGGGAAGACAAAGACAGTCTAGTAACTCCGATTTAGATGTTTGCAACATGTTTGGACCAAGCTAGGTTATGACAAGACAATTTCAGGGTAGCTGACAGATTCGGCTTTGGTAATGATATCATTATTAACAGCAAGTTCTCGCTGGTCACTAAAATGTGTCTGAAAATGGGAACCCATTTTAACACTAAAAAGAACAATACGTTTATCAATATTAAACACCAGGGATCGGGAAAGCGAATGTGAGGGGAAATATGCACGGCGAACCCACTTAATCCAACTGAAAGTGGAACAGGCACCCTACTAAAGGTAGAACTCAGGTATATAAACCACTTGATTACCGTGGACATGACGGAAGAATGCTCAGATATTTTTCACAAGTACTTCAACACTAAAAGACATCTGGTTTACAATTCACGGCGGTACGGGACATACGTGACCTCAAATGCGCATCGGTTTGATTTCTGTGGCACATGGCTCATGTTTTTTGCATTTCAGAGTAGTTGCATCATCCGTTTACTGTAAGCCATAATTGTTTCGTAACTTTTGAACGTATTGACGATTCTTCCTAATCTCCCATTTAAGCGTTTGTTAGTAGCTACATTTTGCACCATCAATTTTCAACATTCATCTATACCTATACATCAGTCGCAATGGATGATAGCCAATGCTTCGGTTGTGTCGGTTGTCAGCCTTCCTGTGCGTGCCCATAGTACTCAATGCGTCCTTGGTGTAAAACAAGCTTTAATCGGATGAAATCGGATTGTATGTCAATTTAATTCAAGTGGCATTGTAGTATGCTTTCATCCAGTCCGATTATGTAATCAAGTCAAGAAATCGCTTTATACACCTCGAAAGGGGGATATTCAGCAACCACATAACTACACTGTGTCAACAAATAGTAAAAAAAAACAGTACAACAATTAAAAGACGTGAAAAACGGACAGCAACATCAGAAACTAATGGTATACCTGGGTGTTTGTGATTAGTTTAGTTTAGCATTTTGCGCAGATTTCATGCAACGAGTTCATGGTTTGTTAGAAATCTGGCGAGATACGGCACAATAGAGCTCCTGTAAGCTTCATTGCGTGTCTTTATAAGTTTACGACTGGAACGGGTGGATTGGTCAGGAAGGCACTGACTAAGAGCAGAATGAAGGGAATGGGAAATATCAGATAAAATCTTGTTGGAGAATATTTTACAGGACTTGATGTGATGTGTCACCACATACTGTACCAGATGTTCCCGTGGTATGAGAGTACGAACCGACAGAAAATTGAGGGATCGAGAAATGAGTTTGAGGTCCTTGTTAAAAAAACGGGGGCCCATAAAGCCATTGGAGCAAACAGCAAGCAAAAACAAAACGCCTTGTGAAATGGTTTGGGAACTAAAGTGAGTTAAGACGTAAGACGTGAAACGTGAACCTTCTGACCTTCAAACAAACGTCATTAACGTGATCAGACTAGGTGAGGTTACGGTTGAAAATAACACCAAGGTATTTGATAGACGGTTTGTCGTTCCATCTGGTCACTGAGGATAGATAAAAGTGGGCTGGCATTTGATAATTCGCCCTTCCAAAAAGGAAGAAAGTTACGTCGTTACATTTTTTGGGATCCATACAGAGGTTCCTTTGTCGAGACCGCTGAACTATTTCTGATATGTTTTCTTGCAGAGTAGTTTGAAATGATGGGCTGGGGAGCATGCGAATATTATATCGTCTGCATACTTAACAAGAAGAGAAGAATTGTTTACAGGCATAGAGGAAACGTAAGCCGAAAATAGAAAAGGGGATAAATTAGCGCCTTGTGAGGAAGACAGCAGCGATGTACGACCTCTGTAGCGTGTTAACTGCTGACGGTTGGAAAAATAGTTGGCCAAGAGTTCAACAGCAGAAGGTTGAACACTGCCTGAAGAGGGTATTTAGGAAAATTTGTCGATTAGTTGTGTTGAAGGCATCACTGTAGTCAAGGAAACGTGCTTTTCTTATCCAGGTTGGATAAAACAGTGGGACAGTTAAGCAATCAATACTGAAAAGAACTAGCCATTGAGCCTACTTAATTACGATAAGAAATGTGATATTTAAATAGCAAGTCGGGAGGCGAGTGACAGCAATAGACTAATGTCATTTTCTGAAAATGAATGAGTTTTGGATCCCAATGAAGGTGTTACATGATTATAACAAAGCGCTGTGAAATGTCGGTTCGTTTACGAAGGTGAACTTGAGAGTAAGTGTTGCACTACTTACTTTATTGGTAGTATACAATCGTGCCGCCTGAAAAAAGAGGCACCGCTCGGAATTTACCTTAATAAGGCCTTCTGTCGATGTGGCCTACCGCGAAATATATTGTGCTCTAAAGTCTCAAGCACCTATTCGGAAACCCCTCGCCCTCCTCTCCAGCTCTGTTCTCCACACTCGAGTTGCCTCATGTTTTCAACCCTCTATCTGATTTCGACAAGTAAGCTTGGCAACCGGAACCCACTGAACTCATCAAACCGAATTCGATACCCACGATTTCCATCAAATCGTTCACCAAGGTGCCTTAGCTAAAATCATGGAGAATATCAATGTAGAGTCATGCTCTGTCTTTGAAACACCCATACCAGATCCCATTTTCAAAGTCACTACTTTTTTAAGGTCTTACTTTGTCCGCACGCTTCAGTCGGTTAAGCGTCTAGCGCTTACAATGTCGCTGGTTTTGGAATTTCGCTGTGTCAAGGCTGAGCGCTGGTTTCTTGGCTGTCCCAATCGCCTATGTAGTGTACGTCTCGACGGTTTAATGCTGGTCAACGTGAAAGAGTGACGTATCTATGCTTGTACATTGTGTCCGTGTGAGGACCGACCGTTGGAATTTAGTCCGGCACGAAGGATGACTTCTACAGCGACCTCTCTTGATTACTGCAAAGAATTCGTTCAACAGACAGTTATAGAAATTATTTCCCAAAATAAACTTCAACAAAAAACAGTACTGCAAGGGAGCACGATTTAATTCCGGAATCATTTCACTGCACCTTAGCTGGTGCTTACTGCAGACAACAAAATATTGCAGGTGATAATAACCTAGCATAGTACCAATCCACCCTTCCGCTTACGAGTTCATCAGGGTAATACTAGACTGGTGTTTGCCATTTTAGGATTAATCTAAGACATATCCCTCGGGTGAGGGTTGAGACTTTGACATCCTACCGCATATAAAGTTTCCTGATCTGGGGTGCGCTGATGACAGTTTGCATGTTAGTGAAAATCTGGTTGAGTTACAAGCCCTTCTGTATGGTTCCAGTGTAAGTGTACACGGCATGTTTTACACCTTTAAAGTGCAGAATTTTACTGGAGTAGGTTGATCCAAAACCCACTTTCAATATAACATAAAAACCAACAGAATGTGAATGCTTTTTACTTTTTAGGTAGCAAATGGAGCACGGATAACTTGTCGGCACGCTTACAGAATACTCGGTTAACATTTGCCAGTTTTAATCAGTTTGGTGCAACTTCAGGAGTCAATTGTCCGTGAAGGGTTGGGTATATGCTGCAGCTGTCCGGCCCAGTCCCCTGTATTATTCGAACACATAGTCGTTGTGCCACATTGTAGGTGACTGGCGGGACAACTACTTAAGCAATACACCGATTGGATGCAGAGTTTTGGGTAATCCTGATGGCATACTAAGGCAACAGCCTGAGCTCCATAAACTTTGTTGACTGAGGCATGTGATACACATGTCTTAAAATAAGCTTTCTCGTGTGTCGACGTTTTTTGAGGCAGGTAATGGGTGGGAGAGAGCAAACTGATCAGAACAAGAACTGATACTAGGGCGCGAAAACCCTGACCACAGTTCTCGTTCACATCGGGCCGCATCAGACTTTGTTTGTGAAACTCGTGCTCCACCGCAGATCAGTTATCAGGCCCTGGGGTGCACTAGCAACCGTCGTCGAAATCAAGAAATCGTGCCTTTTGATGGCCTTTAACCAAATAGAAGCACAAGCATAAGTGGATATTAGTTCAGATGTGTTGCGTTTCATTTGGGGCAATACCATTTTCAATTACGTGACTGAGGCTCGAAACACTAAGCGTTGGAAGGAACGCGTGTGATGAAAGACCGGAAGTTGTACACGTCTTTGTCAATACATTTAGAATTAGGGGTCCGTTTTTCCCTGCCTTCAGATGAACCTCGTGTGAATCGCACCAAAATGTTGTTGGACGGAACGGCAGTTGGTAAACCACTAATAAAACAATTTGAACGTAGTTGAGCATACCGTAGGTGTTATGAAAGGTTGGAGTGGAACTAAAAGGAGACTGGGATTCATAGGTGATAGTTGGGCTGATTAGCTCGCTGTCTCGAGTACAAACCGGTCCCTCCAGTTCAAACATGGCCACAGCCCCCCCCCCCGTTGCCTGGCTCAAAATCGATATCCAACCCACACCTTGTAGGGTTGGTCAATCCAAGGCCCGGAATTTAAGTTTCAGTTTGCCGTGACAGCTGGGTATAGCTTTGCTACTATTCCTAAGGCCTGGATATGCCTTGAGCCCTGTAGAAAAAGGACAGACTGGATCCTATGTTGTTGATTTCGTTTCCCCAGAATATGATGCCTATGATCGCTATTTTGCTTTCTATTTTGCAAGTCCTTCTGATAATGGTCGCCTCAACATACTTCCCAGTGAAAGTCTTCACAATCAGAAGAGTGGACGAAATCAAGCAGATCACAGATGAGATCAAACACTTGCACCGAGTTAACGGCATTGGCTCTGTAGCCTTCATTGTCTACCGAATGGGGGTTGGGAGACTGCTCAGTGTTAAACCATCGGTTCGCGAAGGTTCTTCCTGGTGCACTTATGAGCAAGGTTTCCCGTATGTTGAAACGCTATGAATGAAGAAACGTAACAATTATAGGAAATTGTTCAGGTAATAAGTTGACGAAAAAGAGGCAGAATTAATTTACGGAACCGCGAATTGTGGGATTTGGTGAAGATATTTATTCTTGTCTATTTTTTCAATTACGGTTTCTTATATATATATATGCTGGACTTACGAAAACCGGCATAGATTCCGTTGTCAAAAGTCGTTCTTGCACAGATTTCAGTGAACTGTCCACCCAGCAATCTACCATTTAAACAAGCAAACACAGACACATTCATGTGTAACAAGCGCATTACTCAACTCTAGCAAACGATAGTTTGCCGTCAAGCATGCGTGCACATCTTTGTGATGAGTATGTAGCTACCCAAACTGTCGTTCCGGAACCTCATCATACACGTTGCACATCTATGCGTACACGCACTGAAGCTTGCACACAAATCATTTCTGCGCTCAGCTTGTGCGCGCGCGCACTCAAACAGACACACACGAGAGCTCGCACGCAAACAACCATCTAGCCGTCATAGACATCAACACAGACCCACGATGTTGTCCTATTCATCCGTGCGTTTCCACGCGTCCTGCACCACATACGCATCTGCACACAGAAACAATCACCAATGCGAATCGATACGTTGACGCCAAAACGACAAATCGCGACGGATCTCCAATAGAAGCGAGTTCCACCTGTCTGACAGTTGTTACCACATTGGTAGCTTTAAGCTTGACCGCTAGCTATTCTGTTTTCCCGGACATCGTTTCACATTGTTGGCGATAGACTTCGTTTGAGTTCCCCCTTACATACGTCGTCTTTCTCTGTCCCCACATCTTACTCCTGTTTTGTGTGTTCACTCTTTGTGAAGGAAGAAAAAATTATTTTGATATAACCCACTCAACTGATTCGTTTGTTATCTGGCCGGGATATCAATAGAATTGATTGAAATAAACCAAAAAGTACGCGCCCGAACAACAGGACTAACATGACCATGTCTACGGGACAAGAACAAGCTCTCATCAAATATTCTGAAATGAACCAACAACAACAACAGGAAGCGGTTGATTGTAGCGCGGCCGCAATTGAACGTTTCCAGGATAATCAGGAGGTGGCGAAGTATATCAAACACGAATTTGATCGACGGTACGGCGGGACATGGCACTGTGTGGTTGGCAAGACATTTGGATGGTGAGCCTGTTCGCTTATTTGTTAATTTTCACATATGTATAGATATTTATGTACGGGGACGTTTGTTTCAAAAATAACCAGTACAGGTTTTACGAAGTTCCAAAATACGAATAAATGCCGGGTAAATGATTGATCTTGGCTTTCGCATTTTTTTAGTCTCCAACTTAAGAGTACTGATCTCTCGGTTAAAAAATCATGTTGAGCGCTACAATTCTCTATTGTCTATTGAATAATGCAAATTTCGTCAAATCCACATGTAGTTTTAAACTTGTTGACTGGTCTATCTATCTGCACATGTGACGAGCAGTGTTCGGAACATAATAGAATAAATTGGAATGTTCGGGGAAATTCATTCGCAAAATTTCTTACCCCGTAGTATCAAGAGAAATTCGGGTTCATGAGTAGCAGAAATATTCATCGTGAGGACATACAAAACGATGCTAATGAACCATTTTTTGCAAAGCGTTTGAACACCGCCATGCGTGGTTAAACACTGGTTCGATGTATGTATTCTCCAACAAACTAATTGCTAAACACGTTTTAAGCAAACCATGGATATGATAAATTGTTACACAACCCCCCTGTGAACGCCAATTCTTTACAGCCCAATACAGTTGATATGGAGGCTTGCCACGACGGATGCAGTGATAATTTAGCTCCACAACTCCCCTCTATTTGATCAGAGTACAACTTTAGCAAGAGTGTATGCTCCCTTCTCCCAGTGGTTCAGCCCACATACCCCATATATTGATAAATATTTTTGATGATCAGATGATGAAAAAACATCATTGTTTTTCGTAAATGCTATGCCCAGTGTTAAGGTATTACTAATCAACTCCTGTAAAGTGCAATGTGGTTTTTCCGTCTCTTGAACCTTTTTTCGTGGTTGAGTAATAGTATATTTGTGCAGAACTATTTCAGAGTATCGTGCTAGGAGTAGTATCCATATGAATAGACCCCTTTACAGCAGTTATAAGCTTTCAGTTCTGAAAGACAATTTTAATCCTGGCAATGATTGGACAGCATAAAAACCAAATGTCTGAAAGAGTATTCCCCAGATGCAACCAAGAAAGTTTTGTTAAAATCCTAACTGGGGTTCAATTATATGAGTAATTGGACGAGAGAGTACTGACTAGTCGTATCCAATGGGTGGCGGTAACCACAAAACCGGTATGAAGATTCCAAAGAAGTTTAGTCTGATCATTCAGATGCTACTACAACTGCTACCGCTAACAGTACTACTACTACAGCCACTTTCAGAACATGAACAGCAAGTTCCGAAAATAAAACTAACAGTATCCGGCGACTAATATAGAGTTGTTTTCCAGCATTTCTAACATTGGGATCTCGGGTGAATAACACAGGTTCGCAAACAAACTTGTCTTCAATGCTATATCAAATGACTCAATGCAGAATAATATACAATAGACTTTTGTATTGTGGTGAGGGAGGAGAAACAAGTGGTGAGGGAATCAGAGTTTAGAATGGGATAATGTAATTGTGATAATTAATATGCGCGGTGTTTTTTGAGTGTTTTGAGGCAGCAACTCAGGGGATAAGACCTTCGGTTATGAGGAAGGTTCTGGCATCAGCACTCATGCAATTTTAAGTTTATCTTATCGGACTAGAAACATTTTTCTTCGGTTTAAAGAGCGCAACAAAATGGGAATATGCTGTTCTTTGCGCTATTATGCAACATCTCCTGTGGCTTATCGTTACCAGTGCAAATCAGTCGATTATTATCATCACTTTTATTATTATAAATAACACAACTGTCTATTCTCCTACGACCATTTCCTGTATTGCTAACGCTACCATCAATAAATTGTTACAAAAAAGTATAGGAAACTATTTGTGCTTCCAGATATTTCCTCAAATGAGGATTGTCAGTATACCTAATAATTCGTCTTGTCCATCTTTGATTTTGAGATTGGAGGTTTTGAATTTAATTCCGAATAGGGTTGACAAATTCAGGTTCACATTGCCGATAATATCGAAAAAACCGGAAACTGGTGGTGGTGATTCTGTGTATTTAATTCTGCTCTTTCTTCCTTTCCATAAATATGTAATTATATGTAATACGAATGTACTCCGGGCTCTCGCAGCGCAGCAAATGGGACAGAGATGCACCACAGGATGTCCCGCGACTCGTATTCTCGCAGCTGAAGATGATACGAAGTTTTGCTGGTGATGAACGACGACAACGGGACTGCAGCAGGGGCAAGGCGAATGGGACAATGGTTGGAGAGGAAACAAAGGTAGAGAGATATTCCGTGGGTCGGGGTTAAAGATAAACCCGCAAGGCAAAGTAAAACGCCATGAAACAAATAGTTCTTTCTTTCTTTTCTTTTTACTTCCTTTTATTTAATATGCAAAGATACAGTTTTCAGAAACGGGGAAGCAACCAATCAAAGGGCTACCATTCAACACAGTGGGGAAAGCAAGGCGGTGGTGGGATTCGAACACACGTCCTCTGGGGTGATAATTTGCTAACGTTAACACCGGGCAACCACTGCAAGCACATACGATAACATATCACTGGCATGGTTGCCAGGTGTAATATATACCTATAACACCTGTTTGAGTCCAGACTGTCTGCTACATAAATCACGGTACAAAAATCTTTATGACACTGAAAATAGTTCATGAGTTGCGTGTTGGTAGGATAATACTAGGCTGAATAGACCAAACCAGGTGACTGTTGTTTGGGGGGGGGGGGGGGGNAAAATCGAAGCCTTCCACTAACCAAAGCCCGACCAGCAAACCAACCGGGCTGTGTGAAATCCGCAACCCACTGGGAACCTGTGTCCATTTCTTCGGATCATACTCCCTTTGAACGGAGTCAACCGACCTATGAGCCTAATACAACTCGACACTGAATCAAACGCGTGTCCACTCCCACAAGTAGGAAGGTGTGTTTCGTACGCTTCTTCTAGACTGCATTGGGATCAGGGTCTCTGGGGGAACTGTTACTGGTTAACCGACCCGGTTATTTTGGCTTTTGGTCCTCTCACATGAAGATGGTGAGTAGAATTTTTTAAGCAGACGGTATTTGAGACGTTTGGGCATGTGCAAGCATTTCTGTAGGTGCAAGGGAAGGGTGACCAGTGGCAACCTAAGACATCCGTCCCCGACCATTCAACGATTCTCTTTCGTGGCTTTCTACTTCTTTTTTATTTTTATTTAATATACAAATGTACAGTCAACGTTCAGGAAGGGGGCTGCGGCCATATAAAGGATGCCTGGGAAAATACAGAAACAAGAAAGACAGGCGGCGGTGGATCAGATCGAACCCAGAACTCCAGGGTCACCACTTGGTGACCTAACCACTTGACCACCACCGCCCAGCGTCTTGAACCGATTACACCCAGGTTAACTCAGAATTCTATCTGGATTCGGGATGAAAAATCTATTGCATAGTTCAATGTGCTAGTTGACACCTACTCATATGGTCGTTGGAGATAAAGCAAAACGTGTTTTGTTGTCGGCATCAATTGGATCTCCTTATAACTGTATTTTGAGGGATTGTTATCATGTTAATACTGATGGGCAACGGAAACAGGAGTTTAGCTGTCTGTCACGACTCATGATGCATATTTTCGTTTTAAATAAATGATTATTTTTCCGGACTCTTCCTCATTGATGATTTAAGGATATATATAATTTGTAATAAACTATAGAATCCGGTTTTTCTTCACCGAGAGCTCCAATGATGTCATTCATCTTTCTGCAATCGATGAACTCCCTTTGGTCTTTCTGTAGGCTTGAAGTGGAATCCTCAAGCAGATTGAAACTCAGAAATCGTTACACTCTTTTACTTGTTTGTGATGGATTTCCTTTTCGCCTCCTTTGGTGACTCTGACGTAATAGATATTTGGTCACTAGAGAAGTTGTGGGCGAAAGTGGTATTCATGTATGCGATCCCGGTAGATCGATTACAGTTTACGGCAAAACTGATTCTCTGGAGTGGGAGTAGCAGAGACAAAAGGAGAAAGGAAGGAAAATTCTGCTAATCCATCTCGCTAATTCCAGAGGAGATAGATTAATAAGGCCATCCATCAAACTAGATATTTATTCCTGAAACAAGGAGAAATCGCATAATTTGAGTGAATGAATTTAGGAAAATAACATTTGAATAAAACATACTTTTAAAGAGTTCTCTGTGTTTTCTCAATCCAGTTACGGTTCCGTGACAAGTAAATATTTAACATATAAACAAACGCTCATTCAACAAAAGCCGCCAACTTTGATCTCTGAGTGAAAAGTTTAATCACCCCTCGCCCCTGGAATCCGCTTCGATCTTCAAATTTTGTTGCCCAACCTGTAGTTCATCACCGACAAAGGATGATAAGTTTGAATACTTTGGATCGGCTGTATAGTTGCGAAGCACTTGCTTGTCAAAGTGAGAAGGGGTAACTCGATATGTGGAAATCAGACTGATCGATTACTACTCAATTGAGATTGGCATACTGAGCCGAGATACGGTGAAGCAATAGACAACCAGCACCTTATTGGCTGATTAGATTGATTGAACATATGATTGTTGATACACCCCAATTTCCCGACAGAGAAATATAGTTACGATATTTTGTAGTTTTTTTTCTTTTTTGCGATTGTCTGAATGCACTTGAATAGCACTCTGTGCTACTTGTTCCAATGCGTTTCATTGTGTTAGATATTCAATAAAATATGAGGGTCATAAACATCCAGCTGGGAATAGTGCTCGGATGATTCAGAATGGCTAGATAATCCTCTTGAATTAATTTATGTATGAGCAGAGCTTTTGTAAGACTTACTTATCTATCCTCATTTTCTTTACGGTAAGCTGGGATAAAAGATTCACGCGGCCTTTGTTTTCATATTTTGGAATCCTGCCGTGTGATAAGTCCCAGTATCATGCCCGGGCTAATCGGTGGTTGATTCAACCGGATTCCACTGGAATGGGAATTCTTACCTAATAACTGTTGCGCTTTCGAGTCTCGTGAGAGTTATGGTACAACCGAT